AATGTCCACGGTCCTTCGCATATGGAAGTTAGATTTCATAACACAAAAGTAGGCTTCCTTCTCAGTCCTTATTGGCTGACGGAGGCRACGAGGCGTACACCTGGACACATCACCTATTTCGATTAGTGCCTTTGGCCAAACAGGGGTGTCTGCACCATTTATACATCGCCATTTACAGCGACGCAATGAGTGGGCGGAGTTTGAGCGCCTTTCATCGACGAGCAAGCCAGAACATCTACCGTAAGCTCCTCCCACACACAACGGSTCATGAGTCGGCGGGCTGGTATGGAGTAAACCCGGCCTTTCACTTCAGTTTTTAGAGCGTAAACATCTGCTCCTCCCCCACCGGACAAACCAGCGCGACTTTTAGGTTGTTTATACACGTCTTAAAACTATTTMAAATCTGACTTATGTTCAGTCGTATGCCTTATTCGCTCCTGCTAGGTTTGCCTGGCGGTGGGTGGTGTCGACCATCCTCCGAAGGTTGCTGATGAGGAGGAGCTTGAGCAGATGTTGCCGAAGAAGTAGGTGACACATTCTTGAACCGCAGCACATGGGTCAGTGCTCGATTCTGCCAAGGAAGGAGAACGCAGCAAGGTAAGTAGATGCTGATGYGTTTTATTGACAGTTTAAACCCATCACTTCCAGCTTTTAAACAATGTCGACAGTGAGTGTCATGTTAGCTTTCACCGGAACTTCCTTTAATCGCTCCAAATRGGTTAGCATATGTCAGTAAACATGTCGAAACAAAGACAACTGCTTGGTCTGTTAGCTTAATGCTAGATATACAACCTAAAATTTATTATTTTTTTATACTTAATATCATTGTTAGTCGTCGACTCAAAGGTTAAGCTGAAAAAAGGCACTTCATTCATCCCGGCTATCTTKTTAAACTCCGACCATCGTTGCTAACATGTCATCACCCAGCACGCGCTAATTATCTACAGCGCGATGGGATTTGTCAAGCGGAAAAAAACAACACGRGAGAGTGATTCGTGTTGATGAATATTCATCGTGTCGCTACTGAACCGATTTGTGTTTAAAAATCTCTCATCGGTGAGACACAGACACGTTTCTGTTCCTCATCATCCGGGCGCGCGACACCGTGTCCGGGGTTCAGACGAATTTGGTGAACAGGATGCTCCTCGCGGGAGCGCGCGCGCTTTCAGCAGTAATGATGCAATGAGTTTGCCCTCTAAGATCAGACGATACGAATGATTAAAAGACATTTTGATGGCTTTATCCTTGTCTCCCGTCTGGCTTTAGACGAGGGCAGGGYGATAATGATTTTGTTTGTTACCAAATTGTCATGAACCGGATTTTAATCAAACTTGCATGAAGTAAATGTACATCTAAAATTGATACACCTATCTTATGTTATCAAACACACAAATGACTTCAACTCAGTCAGTTTTACAGAAACTGGGTTAAATTGTGGTGTGGTAGTAGCTGAGATTGAGCTTGATCACATTATAAATATTAACAGGTTGCAACATGCACAAAATCTTTATTTAAATTTTTACCATTAATTCCACATAGCTTTGTTAGCAAAATATCTCATAAACCACTAGATTGATTTTAATGAAACTTTTAACAACTACTTGTTAGACATTTTAATACAACTAACTTTTGGAGCCAATTTAATTCAAGATGGCTACCACACCAACGAGCKTTTTATGCGTTTATATTAACTTCGATGAGTTTTCATGGTATTTCTGTTATTTTATTTATTTATACTGGAGTGTTCAGTTGTGTGTGAGTAGCACAAGAATCCCCAAACACAGTCACTGTGTGTACGTTAACAACAAAACTATGTGTTTTACTTGTAATTTGTTGACATTTTCCGGGAATAAATCTGAATCTGAGTGCTGAGAATAAATGTCTGTACAAAMAATAAGAATCTCGGTGCCAGACTGGCAGATCTTGTGTTTTTAACACTTTTTCTGGCTAAAAGATAAAACGATTTTCAAAATACAGAYTGTAAAATATTGGAATCGTTTTGTCTTTTTTTATATGTGATATCTATGATACTTTTTATTCATGCAAGTGACAAGTTTTGCACACTTATTGATAATTACAGTTGTTAAATATCTTGTCTGTTTTATGAAAAGCGGACGCACTTGGAGCAGGTGTAGTGGATGTTGTCWGATGTTTCCTCTGTCTGCTGAACTAAATGAACATGAGGACATCAGCTGCAGGACCTATGTTAGATTAAAGACGCAGAACAAATGCTTATATAATGTGTTTATTTAATAGACAAAGTCTTGACTCCCTTCTTTASWACAAAGCTCTAGTAGCAACAGTTTGTTAGATTGAAACTATCCTTTTAACATGGAAAACTTTGCACGCTTCACCACACTGAATAGTATGAGACCTAAATAAAATATCTTCTATTTTGGATCATTGAAAATTTTTCACTGAACACCATTAGTCACAATCAGTTGTCAGTTATCTTTCATTCAAGGAAGAACTACTCGTTACCTAAATTTAACTCTACGTTTATAGTCCTCAACCRTAACAGGCGCAAATAACAATTAGTTTCAGTGCTTAGATTAGGCAGTTCTATTTAATTACACTGGTGGTCTTCATCTGACACAAATGATTTGGATCATTGTTTTTCTTTCATCCTACCTCAGCCAATGTTTTAAATGAGTCAAGCTGGTTCCAGATAATGTATATGTAACCGGATCTGATCTGTGTTGATTTGCCGTGATAAAGTTCGTCTTCGGAGGAGCGGATTCAACRTTTATTCTGACGAGAACWATAAACAGAGAGACAACCACATTAYGGACTGCCCGTTCCAAGTCTTACATAAAACTACCCTGTTGCTTTACAGCCATAAATTCACTAAAATCACATCACGGGGTGACAACGATGGTAACAAAATGCTCTTTATACATCTATCATTAATCTGGATGTAATTTGGTGAAAAATGAATGACAGGATTACAAAACCAGAAGAAATAAGGACTATAAAAACCGTGGAGTTTAAGAACTATCTTGATAACAGAAGACATTTTGTGTMATTCTAACAAATTACAAATATAAACGGGTTACATTTACAAGTTCTGATCTGAGTGACTGTTAGCTTGACTCGACCATGAGACTGAAATAATTTTGACTCACGTCTGGCGGGTACAGTGCTCATAAGTGGTGTGTACGCCTCGCTTTAAAGAAAATCTGAACCATCACGTTTAACTACCTCATGGAAGGGTACAGTAAATGAAGAGTTGAAATTCCACATATTTGTGAAGCTTGTTTTTAATGAGGCCGTTTTTCTTTACAGAGTACTCCAGTGGAGAAGTACACCTTGGGTTCAGTGGCTGTTTGAAATGAACCCAACCTTGRCCTCTTCGTGACCCCACCAGCCTCCCCATTTATTTGTCTTTTGTTTGTTTTTCCACTTGGCCTCAGTCGGGCCCCTTGAATCTTTCAACAGTTTCTMGTCAGAGTTGATGCTTAAAGCTCTAAATTAGTCAGAATGGTTGCCGAAATAGACGCAGCCTCTGTAGGCAGCGGTATTAGGCTGAAGCAGGAGATTTCCCTCCTCCATGGCGTCTGCCTCATCGTAGGAAATATGATCGGCTCTGGAATCTTCRTCTCACCGAAGGTAAGAATCCAACTCTTCTAAGACAGGTCAGTTTTTTATCTCTCCTGGTTTATAATTTTTAAAAATGACAGTATTTTTAGTAAGTCTTCAGCTCTGTGTTGGATCATATTTAAGTTAAAGAAGTAACTGTATTTCTCCAATTCTGTTTTCTTTTTATTCTATGAAGTGTTTTTTGGTTCAGTTTAAATAAAGTTTTGATGTCGAAGTGTCGGGTTACACGTTGCTCAGTGTTTCCGCTGACTTCTCACACGTCTGTTCCTCTGCAGGGAGTCCTCATGCACACGGGCTCGTTCGGCTTGTCTCTGGTTGTGTGGGCCATCGGCGGGGTGTTCTCTGTGTTTGGAGCGTTGTGCTACGCAGAGCTTGGGACYACCATCCGTAAATCTGGCGCTTCCTACGCCTACATTCTGGAAGCCTTTGGAGGCTTCCTGGCTTTTATTCGGTATGTAGAAACACCTCTGTGTTCCTTTTTTAAACTTGTACTATTTTGTTTTGAATCTACTAAGCTCTGCATTTAATCTGGACTGAACATTTGTATTCATTATTCAGATTAAATTGATTGCATTTAAACCAGAAACCTACCTGTCTGTTGTGCCCTACTAGACTGTGGACGTCCCTGATGATAGTAGAACCAGCCTGTCAGGCAGTGATCGCCTTGACCTTCTCCATCTACATGGTCCAGCCCTTCTATCCCACCTGCACAGCCCCTTATCACGCCGTCCGCCTTTTTGCTGCCGCCATCATATGTAAGGCTTTTCTTTTACCGTTTGTTAAAGACACATGGACTGATGGAAAGTGGTGATATAACGTATTTGTATTCATTTTTGACGTGGATCTGTGCTCAGCAAAATGTTTACAGATAATATGGGTAACGTCCTGATGCATCTCAGTAATCCAGGTAGAAAAAAAATCAAAAAGAAAAAATAAGTAGGTCTTCTGGATGGGTTTTTATTTAGTGAAACGTTTCGTCTCTCCTCCAAGAGACTTTTTCAGTCTGATGAGTTTCAGGTGAACTCAGCCTTATAAGCACTGCCTCCACATGGATAAAYAGGTTAGTCACATGCAAAAGAGGGCCATCGCTTAACAATATTATAACATATAACAACATATAGCAACAATATTGTTAAGAGATGGCCCTCTTTTGCATGTGACTAACCTGTTTGTCCATGTGGAGGCAGTGCTTATAAGGCTGAGCTCACCTGAAACTCATCAGACTGAAGAAGTCTCTTGGAGGAGAGACGAAACGTTTCACTAAAGTAGAACTCTTCCAGAGGACCTACTTATTTTTTCTTTTTGAATATGGGTAACCTTTTACTAACTACAAACAAAACAAAGTTTGATATTTAAAAGAAGTTTTGAGCTCTGAAGTGCTTAAACAGCACAAAATATGTGCAGCCCAGCGGCTCTGTAAATGTAAACTGGTTGTTCTGTCAATATAACTTTATAATTAGTTAGGCTGTAGGCAACAAGGCAAATGAGGAGTAAAATCTTTTACGACCAGTCTTTTTACAGTGGGATGGTGCGTGGGGGGCTTCTTGCTTAATTAGCTTCACACAGTCACCTTTAATATGTTGGTTTGAAATGAAAATGATGTCACAATGCAGTACAACGAGAGCGCAAATGTCGATGGAGGGCAGGAAGTGAAGTAGTGGAGGGTCTGTGTTTGGTGTTGTTTGTTTGCTCCAATCATTCTAAACCAAAAAGGGACTTATCAAGTACCAAAGATTGTTATGCACAAAGTTGAGAAATGTAGAAGAACGCTATAAAAAGTGGGTTTTAAACCCACGTCTGCTGATGCTGGTGTCTGCAGCGACCACTTCCTCAGAGTATGTTTGCTGCTAACTTGTTTTGTTTTATTTCTGTGTTTATAAAGTTAGGTTGTCGTAAAATGCTSCTTTAGTGATTATTAAATTAATGGCAGTCTAATCTGAACTTCATCTAGACTTTTTAGGCTGCCCTAACGCTACGTGTCTGCTAACATCTGAACATATACTGTAAAACAATATAACAACAAACACTCACCACAGAGCTGTTTGATACAGAGTTTGTGGACCCACAACCCGCTGACAAAAAAGATATACACCTCCAGACTTTTCTAGGCTTTCACCTCCTGTTTGGTGTAGTTAGATGTCTGAAGGACCACATAGTTTCTGATATCGACAGCCTTGATTGTCTGAAGACCTTTAGCCTCTGTTGAAAACTCATTCATCTTCATGAGATCTGAAGTTTTTGTTAACTAGTTGGTGGTATTTTTGTCTTGAAACTGGATCTAAATCTGAAACAGTACTCGCAGTACTCACCCTGGAGCTGAATACCTGTTCCCAGGTGCCAGGAGTTGGTTGACTCCATGCGACACAGRTCTGAAGCAGTTCTCAAACACTGTGGTTACAACTAAATGTTGGTTTAGTGTTTCACAGGAACGAGTCCTGAAGATTTTTGTTTGCTCTTAAATAAAATGTATTTAAGGTTTTGGACTTTACTCGATTTTAAACACTAATATAAACACAACAAAAGAAGCTTCCAGTAGATTTTTTTTATTTTTAATTCCATCTTTAAAGTAGACCTCTTAAGTGTTGGACAACATTTTTAAATTAACAGTTTTTATGTTCCACAATCAGCTTTGCTTGATCCTTTTATATTGTTGGCCTCTTTTCAACACAAAAGGATCATAAAACTTGAGCTTCCACTTCCATAAAACGTCTCTGAAATGCAATTTTAGGAGATCACGCTGACCTGGCTGCATTACAGGGAAAAAAAAGTCTTTGGCATCAAACCAAAACCGTCTAATCGAGCATTTTCTTTCTGTTTTTAAAGGATATGTGTATAAATACAGCTTAAACCTGGTAACATTTCTCTAACTGCCACCTTAAAGCTGCCTTGCTTTGTGGAGACGCTAGCTGAAGCTTAAATGCAGGTATAAAGGCAAATCTGGCACTTAAGTTGTAAACCTTCAGGCTTGGGTTTGTTTAGAGCGCAGGGTTTATTACTCTGACAGATCAGTGAAAAAATGTGACGGGGCAGGTTGTAAACAGATCCTGTTCCCTTGAAAGCAGATCCGCTGCTGCAGACTCTCATAAAACACCTTTGATTGATCAGTGCTCTTGTCCTTCGGGTTTTTTTTTCATATAACCACGTGTCTCAGCATGTAATTTTCCTGAAAATTAAAGGTCTTATTCATTTTTGTAAAGTCTGATTCAGTGACTGACGCATAAATCTGGCAAACCAGGCAGGATTTTCTTCTGAAGCTCTTTAAACGACAGCCTTTGCTCTAATTTCATTCTGCAGAGTTAGTCTTGTATTTTCTCTTCCATCAGGCTTGCTCACGGCTGTCAACTGTATGAAAGTCAAATGGGGCGCGATTCTTCAGGTCGTCTCCACGGTGGCCAAGGTCCTCGCCCTCATCGTCATCATCATCACTGGCCTGGTGAAGCTGGCCCAAGGTATGGTCCTGTTGACTCTGTTGAGCGTGCTACAAAATCAAAGCAGCTCAGAGCTGGAGGGGCGAGACACTGCAGCTTTGTTCAGGATTACAGCTGGAATGCTTTTAGTAGTTACTGATTAGCCGTCTGCGTGGAAAAGCTGTGTTTAACGCAAAGATTAGTGCAGTAATGTTGCGCAACATAAACATAAATAAATAATTAATAACAGAATATTGATAGTGATTTGAATAATTTTGATTTCCTTTGTGCAGCTAAATAATGGATTTAGACAGCCATGTTCGCCTTTTCCAGTCTTCTAGATTTTATTTCTCATATTAAATATTTGGTGTTTTTTCTGCACTTATTACAATATTTTATTTAGTTAACCAAACCGATCAGGTTAACTAAATGTTTTTGCCCGCAGTTACAGTTAACAAAAAAAACAGCTTTTTGTGTGAATGAATGATCTAAATGACTCACGTCTATAATTTATTCTGCCCAGCACTGACTGTATTGTTCTTGTTTTCGAGCAGGCTTCGACCAGAATTTTGAGAACTCGTTCAAACACTCCAAGCTGGATCCCGGTGACATGGCTTTAGCTCTTTATTCAGCACTTTATTCCTATTCTGGCTGGGACACGCTCAACTTCATTACAGAGGAGATCAAGAACCCAGAGAGGTGCGCTGATGTGTTAAAATAACTGTATTAAGCTCCAGTCTCTCCTTTTTTTTCCTTCCTTTTTTTACATCACCTCRTACTTTTTTAAATGCATGATTAATTGTGCATAAATCTTGACTAATAAACAATAAAATCATCTTTTTACTTTGTAGGAATCTGCCCTTGTCCATTGCCATTTCCATGCCCATCGTCACAATAATCTACATCTTGACTAATATAGCTTACTACATTGTCATGGACGCAGACACGGTGCTCGCAAGTGAAGCTGTTGCTGTGGTGAGTGTCTAATATTAAACTAGTGCGGTTTTCCTTCACATTGGTTTGCCTACATTCACACATTTTGAAGAGATTAGATCAGTTCTTCCTGTTTGTGTTTTTAAGTTTAATGTTCTTTCCTGTCTGGTTATCAAACGGCAGCACCAGCGTCATCCTCCTGGTCGTCTGACTGTAGGAGTGCATTGCAGCAGCCTCGTTTAGCTAAAGACGTTAGCGCTCCACACAGGAACAGCAGGAGCTTCATGATCTCATTAGACCTCTGATGGAGGCAGAGTTGTTGTCATTAGAGGAYATTTATATTGCAGTAGTTAGGATTGTTCAGTAATGTTCTGTCAGCACAATGTGAGCTCTGTGCCGTTTGAAATCAGAAGATGCGCAGCACAACGGAAGTGTAGAAATAAAAGGTTTAAACCTGAATCTTCCAGAATAAGTGCGTTTAAACGTGTCGAATCGCTCCTCAGACGTTTGCAGACGAGGTGCTGAGCTGGGCCCGATGGCTGATCCCCATTTCTGTGGCCATTTCCTGCTACGGAGGCCTCAACTCCTCCATCATCGCTGCTTCCAGGTCTGTAAACAGCTGCAGGTTTGCTTCTTCAACCAGTGCTGTTTTCATCAAACCRATAAGCATCTTTGTTTTCTGCTGCAGGTTGTTTTTTGTTGGCTCCAGGGAGGGCCACCTTCCTAACATCCTGTGCATGATCCACATAAAGCGCTTCACCCCGATTCCAGCTCTGCTTTTTAATGTTAGTGTTCCAGTGTCTTTGAGTTTTGGCCTGTTTATTATTTTTAAATCTAACATGTTTGTGTGTGGCTCTCCTCTCTCTCTCTCTCTCAGGGTGCCATGTCTCTGTTCTACCTGTCTGTGCCCGATGTCTTCCAGCTGATCAACTTTTTCAGTTTCAACTACTGGCTCTTCATTGGCATGTCGATAGCCAGTCAGATCTACCTCCGCTTCAAAGCTCCAGACATGCCRCGGCCCGTCAAGGTAGCAGAAAGTGACAGAAATGTAAAGCGTCTTGTCACGGTTGAATTTTGAGGGACGTGTTTGAAGGAATGATTCACGTTTTGTTTATATGAAATGTTTTAAAGTTAAACAAATTTACACTCTGAAATAACAGCAGCAGTACCTGCAGCCCTGTAGGCCTGGCCTCCATCAGTAGTGACCTCGGCAATGAGTCCTGATGTTTAAAATCAGATAACGTGGGAGATTTAATTACAATAGAAACATCAAGACAATTGAAATAATCTTTAAATTGTATTTATTTTATTCTCTTTCTCCCCCTGCAGCTCCCCTTGTTCTTCCCAATAGTTTACTGCTTGTGCAGCATTTTCCTGGTGGTGGTTCCTCTCTACAGCGACCCCATCAACTCTCTCATTGGGATTGCTGTCGCCCTCTCCGGTGCACCCGTCTACTACATCTGCGTTCATCTGCCGCCCACCTCCAGACCCGCCTTCCTGGGCAAAATGCTCGGTAAGAACGGCTGCAGTTGAATTTCTCTGTTGCATCTTTTATTCTGAAAAGCCCAGTTGTATTTTATATTGTCTAGCATAAACATCTACTAATATGTGAGGAAGTAAAAACAAAGAATTCATATAGAGCCAGCAGATGTTGATGTTGATGTTGAAATCCTCGATTTTCTGTTTCTGCTGCACAAACAGCWAACTATAGTGAAGTAAAATATTTCAACTTGGCTGAAAGTTTATTTAAATTTATATTTTTAGGAGACAGACTTAAAAAACTGGTTGTAGTTAAACATCTTGATAAACATATTAGTTTATCTGACTGGATAAGGGATGGAAATAAAGCAGTGTTGTATAAAATATCACAAAGTGATACTTGAGTAAAAGTACAAGTACCTTACCAAAAAATTACTTTGGTAAAAGTTAAAGTCTCCTTTAGGAATATTACTTGAGTAAAAGTACAAGTATGTTACCAAAAACTTACTTTGGTAAAAGTTAAAGTCTCCTTTAGGAATATTACTTGAGTAAAAGTCTTAAAGTATCTGATATTTTTCGTACTTAAGTACTAAAAGTAAAAGTATTGATTTTAAAAGGAGCAGTTAGATTTTCTGTAATGACATTTATTAGGTGACCTCCCTCCAAAAAATGCAGAAACTATTATATTGTATTAAAATAAGTAATTTATGTTGAATTTAGTCTAGCTGTTTCAGTTTATATACATATATCAAGGGTGCCCAAAATAAAAATCTATCTGAAGGCTGCAGCCAAATACACTAATATAGTTCATAAAATACAAATACTTCTTAAGTACAGTCCTTTTATTTTAATAATTACAGTGGGGAGAACAAGTATTTGATACACTGTTGATTTTTCAGGTTTTCCCACTTGCAAAGCTTGTAGAAGACTGTAATTTTTATCATAGGTACTCTTCAACTGTGAGTGATGGAATCTAAAACAAAAATCCAGAAAAATGCAATGTGTGATTTTTAAATAATTAATTTCCATTTTATTGTGTGAAATACAGTATGTCCTGCTGGAGTGTGACATGATTTGTTTGTGTACAAACTAATAYGGTATCAGAGTTTTATATATTTATACTTCTGATTTAACCACAATTAAATTCACTATAKAGGAGGCACAGTTTAAATGGACAGTATTTATTTATTATAATAACAAGCTGGAATGAAAACAAGAAAAAATGCAATAAAAGTAACGACTTTCTACTTCTTGCTTTGTTTAAAAATGTAAGGACTAGAAAGTACAGATAATTGTATGAAAATGTAAGAAGTAGAAGTAAAAAGTAGGCTGAAAATAATTACTCAAGTAAAGTACAGATACACAAAAAGTCTACTTAAGTACAGTAACAAAGTATTTGTACTTAGTTACTTTACAACTCTGAAATAAAGTTWAAGTGACTTAGCATGGTTCAAATTAAAATTCTAGACACCATCTTGCTTTTCCAGCACAGCTATTTTAGCTCCTTTTAGCKATTAGTATCAGCTTCTTTAGCTATTCAGCTAAAATCGTTCAGCATCWAGCGTTCAAACTGCATTTTTGTAGAAAATTAAAATTCTCTAGTTTTGCTTTATTTTAGCCTTTCTCCACATGGAAAAATAGCTTTTGCGGCAGTAGAAGCTGAAATRTTTCACTTTTTAACTGATTTTTATTTTGATAAAGTAATGAGTAAGGAGTGGTTAACTTAAAAAGCAGAGGAACACGATGAACTGCAACTGTTTGAAGTCCTGGAACGTGTTTGTTCTGAATGTTATGATTCCTTTTCACGAGTCGATTATTAGTCAAATTTTGTACAGACCAGCTTCCATAGATCCAAGTAAAAATGCTGTGAATTGGTGATTAGAGGGATTAAGATTAGAGTTTCAAAGTTCAGAGTGTTTTGACGTGCACAAACCGAATGATCCCAACATTTTGTTTGACTGTGAAAAAATAATAACCCACATTCAACCCTGTTTATGTTAAATGAAAACACAGCTGCTGTGAGCCTGTCGAGGTAAAACAACACCGGTGTTTGTTGAAGGCAGGTTTTTTTTTTTCATCTCGTTGCAGATAAGATGTCTCTGTTCACCCAGAAGCTCTGCATGTGTTGCGTGGCCTCCCCAGATATCGATCTGGACAACATAGACCCTGAAAAGATTGAATGATCAAAACCAAACAGAGGACTCTGTGGGAAGAACTGCACAGGAACGATAGAAGCTGTGGGTTTCAGAGCGCCTCGGTTTGGATGATTATAGTCTGAATGTATGGAGGGGGGATGGGTTGGCGCTCTTCCCATCGTGAGTTAGAAACCAGCAGGATGTTTCACGTGCTCGAACACAACACAGTATTTGTGGTGCCGTTTCTTTGTGCCATAACTCAGCAGTTTACAGCTGTGGCTCTTTGTTTGTGATTTAGTGATTATTGTTGCCTGAACAGCAGCAACAAAAAGACCTTTTTTTTTTTTTTTGAACCCCTTGGTGGCACTCGACAGCAGCAGTTTTGCACATCTTCCATTTGTTTTCGACGACCACGGGAAGTCATTTTCTGATGTTACTGAAGGACCAAATACACATGTAGAGGTTTTTACTTTTCTTCGTTTCGCAGGAGRTTTGACAAAAAGTGCTGTTATTTCTTACGATTCTTAGTTGCCTTCGCTCCTTAGTTTCTCCCCAAAGAAACATTTGTTCTTGCAGAGCATCTGTAAAACATGTCACTGTGCTTTGCTCCTGTTTACGTTTGTTTTGTGCTCAAATCTGACTAACTTTAGCTGATGTAGACATTCATCAACAAGCCAAAAAAAATTTATATTTAATTCAGCAGTTTATGTTTACAACATATTTGGGTTTAGGTCACGCCTCTTACTGTTGCCTCTTKTTAACTAATTACAAGTGAAGAGAACCTTTTTAAAGGGATATTTCAGCTCTTTTTGAAGTGGACTTCTATAGGACGGTCTAACATTTAGGTACTATAGATTTGTTGACTGAATGGGTTTGGAGTTTCAGACCACCTGGATCAGGCATAATCTGAGCCGGGCTAAGACCAGAGTATATTTAAGCTGTTCAAAAATAACTCATGTTGGCGCAGCCTGGGGTGTTTTCTACCAGAAATGCCTCGCAGTAATATATTAACAAGGATATGTGCTGCTCCACCTGGTTGTGACCAGAGGACTCCATATAAACAACCACATCATGTGAAACTGAGTGCTTTTTGAATGTTTTATTAAATACTGTTTGTATGGATCTCCTTGATAGTGGAGTTAATTTGAAACAATAGTCTATTTTGATCTTAGCGTCTAGCTATTAGCTCACAGATCTGGTCAGAATTAAACGCTCTCCAAATTGAAGTAATCCAAAACTGCAGCAGGTAAGATATTTACTCTTCATATCCTTGCAGCTTATGCTCACTTCAAAAGATGTGAACTTTTCTAAGTAGCAAACATTAAAGCTGTTTTTACATTGAAAATATAATGTTTTGTTGTTTTTGGTTCAGGGTCTATAGAAACACCTCAGGTCTGATCATGCTAACGCTCAAATGCTGCTTATTTCACCTCAAAAATCTAGTTTTCTTTAGAGAGTGGGACACCTATGGGGCGTTTAATGTGTTGAAGTACCAGCTTGTTTCTTCTCAGTACACGACAAACATCTGGACCGTTCTCCTGCTCATTCAGCTTGTAGTGATATTTTGCAGCTGTAGGACTTCGAGATGAATCAAATGTTTATCCTCGCGAACTGTACGTGCCTTCAAGGTCCTTTCTCGTGTAATTTTGTTCGTTCTCAAAATGCTGTAAACAATCAGAGTTGATCAAATGTTCTCCAGCTTGTTTTGTTGTTTCACATCTGTTCTAATTAGACGGACCGTTAAGTCGAGCCCATTTTGTCACTAGCTGGATTTAAACGGGCCTTTAATGTAAAAGTCCAGTTTATTTGTCCTCGACATAAGCTTTTAGCATATAGATAGATAGAATATGTGCTTATTTGCTTTCTCTGGGATTCTGGATATTATTCAAACCAAATTGGTGAAGATGTTTAAAATAAGTTCTATATATTCTGTATTTTCACAAATGATTTGTATTTAAGTGCAGGAAGTTAGCGTTGCAATGTACTGTAAACATGTATTTGTTGTTTCAGTGGTACCAAATGTTAGAAAATCTTATGGTTCAGAATAAAAGGTTTAACTCTTCAGTGTTTTGTTTGGTTGTGATCAGATCAGAAACAGACTTATTTATTTATTTGTTTGTTTATTTATTTTTATTTAATCCAAACAAAGTCAAATACAGAATGTGGATCAGTTTTGTTGTTGCAGTAAAAGCTCCTCTCCAGTAGAGGGCACTGTTTCTCAGTAATTGCTTGAAGGCATCACAATTAAGTGATCTGTATTTTTTTTACTATCTGTTTGTAGGCTTAGTCAGTAAATAATAAAATGTTACAATTACCAGCTAAATAACAAATAAGCTTAATGAAAGATGTGACTGCCTTTGAGTCATCGGACAAACTAAAGAAAATATTTTGAACATTAAAGCCTGTAATCARTCAGAGCAGCAATTCATAGTGTTTATCATAAAAACACAGCAAAYTCTTARCTTAAACCTAAAAGTAGCAAAAAGGCTAGTTGATGCTAAAAGTTGCAAAAGGTCAGCTAAGAGCTAAAATGGTCAAAAAGCTGGCTAAAAGTTGTTGGAGGCTAGCTAAAAAAACAAACAAACAAAATGTTAGGTAAGCAAACTAAAATGYTAAAAGTATCAAAAGGCTAACTAAAAGTAGCATACAATAGCTAAAAGCTAACAAAAGCAAAACTCTAAATAGTTGTAAAAGGCTATTAAAAGGTAGCAAAAAGACAAACTAAAATAGCAACAAGACTGGAAGTTAGGAGGAGCAAAAGACAAGCTATAAGGCAAAATTATCAAAAGGCAGGCTAAAAGTAGCAGAATGACAGCTAAAGTGGTAAGAATATTAACTAAAATCTAAAAGTAGCAACTAGGCAAGCTAGAAGAAAAGCAAAAGGGCAACTATGAGCTAAAATTGTCAAATGGYTGGCTAAAAACCAAAAATGGAAGCTAAGCATAAAAGCTGAAATTTAAAAGTCTGCAAGTATGAAAATGCAAGCTAAAATAGCATACAAATAGCTAAATGCAAACGGTAGCAACAATATTAACTAACAGTTGTGAAATGCTATCTTTAAAAGTAGCCATAAGCTAATCAAGGCTATAGAAGCTGAGAGAAGCAAAAGGCCAGCTAAAAGCTAAAATAAAGACTGGTTGTAAGTAGCAAAATGGCAGCTAAAGCATTGAAAAGATTAGCTAAAAAACTAAAATAAGAGGCATGTTTGTAGAGTAATGGTTTTAAAGTGATTGAAGACAAATATTGTAGTATTTTATGGAGTTCCAAGCTTTAAAGACCTTTAATTAAAGTTAAATATTGTGAAAATTATAAAAGTTAAACACGGAGCTGAGTGTTTTGATGTACAGAAGTTAAGTTAAAAAGATTATTCAGAAATCAATCAAACAGGAACATCATAGACTGAACACTGAATCAGGTTAAGAAGCTTCATGTTTCAGAGATTTCAGTATTTTTTGTTCTAATGTAAAAAGCAACAGTAAACAAAGTCTTTGC